TTCACGTATTTCTTTAACCTTCTTTTCTACAAACTCATTCAGTTTGCTTTCTTCCTGTTTGAAATTGTTTTCAAGGGAATCAGATACCTTTTGTACAGAGACCATACTATTTTTCACTTCTTGTTCCTTCACTTTCATCTGATCCACCATTGCACTTAGTTCCTCTTTGAATTCTGATGCTGCATTATTCAGATATCTGTATTTATGATCACGATGATCGATCACAATACACTCCAGACAGATCGCTATCTCACATGTATCACAGTAGAATTTTATCTGATTGTCCGGGTGTTTATCACAGTAAACAGATGAGTAAAGTTTAGCTGACTTGTCTGACTTGAATTCTTCCTGCGTTATTATTGTGTGATTCCTACAATTTGGAAACTTTTTATGCGCACGTGCACACACGTTACATACATCCATTGTACAATCTAAACATCGCTTAGTGACGTCTGCCTCGGTGCACGCAGTACACTTTATCGACACACAGGATTTCTCGTCACGTACTTTGAACGCCTCAACTAACTGATTAATAAACAGATTGTCTTCTATCTTTGAAATGCCACCGGGAATGTCATGTTTACGTCTACACAGCGGACATACAACAACATCAGGTTGACCACTTTTTGCAACCACTTTAACTAGACACTCCTCACAGAAGCTATGTTGACACGGAAGTAGTTTTGGTTTGGTGTAACGATCAGAACATATACCGCAGTTTAAAAAGTCCTCGTCAATTTCCTCAACAAATTGATCTGGTGGATTAGATGTTGCCATGGCTCAGGTAAAGCGAATCTTACTTACTCGTTCATGCACTGTTTTAATGTAGACTGCTTACTCAGCACGATTGTACTCACTTAAGTTTTACGTGCCAACAGCAAACAATGGTGTAACCTTTAAAACCTGACCCTAGACGAGATGACCCCCTAGGCTACTGATTTACAATCACATTCTTTCTTTAAGTTTTAATACAAAGTTTAAAACGTTTAAGTTTATTGCATGTATGAATTAAAATGATCCGTCAGATGGGAGTATCAGAGAGTTAATAGCAAACAAGTAATTAAACAAGGAAGTGAAATCAATTATTCATCGTAGTTGGCGCTTTTTCATTTGTTAGCATTTTTTTTTTTCAAAATCGCAATGTTTTGCTGTTCAATTTCACCTATTTGTAATTTCATAATGCTTAATATTTAAATAACCAAGCCATATAAATAAAAAGTTTGTTTTATAGGAAAGTCAGGATTGGATCTCACAATCACTCAATGTTGATTTGCTTGGCAAGATACGCTCGTCTTCTATACCTGGTGGAAATAGAAATATTGTCCTGTCATCGAAGTGTTTGCTCGCGAGAGATCCTCTTTTTGAATTGTGTAATCTATCTGAGTCAACAGTTAAATTAAAGTTTATTGAAAAGTTTAAAGAAAAGTTGCGACACGATTGTATATTGACACGTAATTGCAAAATAAACGATACCCCAAAATACATGAATGTATAAATATAATAGTCATATAAAACCTTGTGCATGCAAGACTTTGTTCGACATTTTAAAATCCAAAAATCTATAAAAGGAGGACATTTTACACACAAAATCATGAAATATTCCAATATGGAAATCATGTATTAAAGTTCAAAATAACACAAACTGAATTTGCTCATCGATCACTATGTAAGTGTTATTAAACAAAATAAAATGTTGGCCGTTATATTTGTAACTTTCACACACATCAGTCAGTACCAATCAATGTTTATATGTATAAAACTAATTGGAAGTACATACAGACTGGTACTTTTCCTTTTCCATTTCAGAAGTATACTTGCAAGAAATGCAGTTTGATAGATATCACTGGTTTCCTTGACTTAATTTTAGTTTTGTTTCAAACAAATGCCGTTTTAAATTTGCATCACCACATAGACACAACACATATACAGACTGATTCACTTAGGAGTGACGTAGTAACAATTAAATGAGAAATCAGCAAACACGATATAAAACATTAAACAGTGTCAGTTTCAATTTAATCATTGTTATCGGCAGTTTTCTTACTAAATATTGTTATCATAGTTTTAAAGCGGGGGAGTCTTCACCTGAGCATGCGTCAGATAACCATGGCGTGTTATTGTTTACTAACAAGCGTCTACCCATGAGGCTTTGCGTTTTTAGCGTGTGTGGTTATCGTTCCTTGGGACTGAATTCCCGCGCGTGCGCAGCCGACGACCCTCCCGCTTTAAGCTTTGATTCTGGCATGTTTCTTTGCAGACTTAGCTATGAAGCCCACACAGACTGGGTGTATATCAACCGATACATTTTCTTCATGTAAATACATGTAATAGAGTTGAACAAACATGTCGCATACACATGATACAGGTAAGAACGTCATAACATGAGAATTACGTTAAATTGCCGTAAAAAGGCTGTTGACTACGGATGACCTCATTTGTTTGCGTCTTTATTTTATTCTCAAAATTCTACAAATTCAATTTTGCATAGCCTTGACATACAATCTGACAATTGTCATGTAAATGTGCTTGTCACAAACTACCGCGAAAAGTCGCTCACAAATGTGAACAAAGAGAGATGATTTTGCAAAAGACAAATTGTCATGGGAAATCTTCAATCAGTTATCCTAGTTCTCAGTTGAGAAGAGAACAATGTATGATACTGTGTATGTACCACATTAGGGTGATACATACACAATTTTACTGCCATCTTTATGAGTATTGTGTATTGAATCGTGTGCAGTCTTTAAAATACGAGATACGGTACATATGTTCAATACCATCATTCTATATTGTTATTACATACTATAGATGTACATTTTTTATAACAAAAGTTAAATTCAGCCAAATACTACTGATCTAACGAATTCTGTTAATAATTGCAAAAGTATCAAGAAGCCTTTTATCCAAAGCTTGTTGGAAGACTTGTCCACCACACAGTGTACTTGTAGATATGTTAATGAAAAAAGGAATCTTATTCACCAAATCAACTTTAGTGTATTTCTCTCTTGAAACAGTGTGATGTTGAATGGAATGGGACATATGATTCAATATTAACTTAAACAATAAACCTATAAAAATGCACACGATACCATATATATAAGTTTGTGCAACCAGGGACTGCCAGCTACATTAGTCCCCATTCGAACAGAGTTTGAATCGAGGACCTAAAATATGGCCGACGTCCGTTCCGAGTCATATTTCAGAACCATTTTGACCAAATTTGTTCATTCTTTACATGTGTCTAGTACTTTACCTTGGACATCTGCACATGCAATGGTTTACTGATTCAATCAAATGTGTCTGACTGGCATCCATTTTGTTTTTTGAAAATGTGGTATCTTTAATATGCATGCTTTGTCAGTTTTTGTTCAAATTTGGTACATGCATTGTAAGTTTTAGATTACATGTCCACGAAAACTTGTTTTTTAATCGGATTAAATATATCCGACTGGCAATCTTTCTTTTAGACCATTTTCATTCATGTTTGTCACATATATCATATATATAGGAATACATGTTCATATTAGTTTGTTCCATAATCAGACCAAAGATTAAACTGGCATCCATCTTGTTTTTTGAAAAATGTGGTTTCTTCGACAGGATTTGTCGTTTTTTGTTCAAATTTTATACAAACATTGTTTATCGTGTTGAGATACATGTCTTTGATGATTTGTTTCGTGTTCTAATCCAAAATGACCAACTGGCAGCCATCTTGTTTTCAAAACGTATTTTTGTCATGTTTTTTTTTCTCTTCAATTTATACATGTTATGATACATGACGATGACAATTAGTTTCACAATCGGATCAAAGATGGTTAACTGCCTGTAATTTTGCTTTTTTACCAAACTACAATATCTCTGTACATGAGCCCAGACAAAAGAAATTTAGTTTGGATACAAAAAAATGCATGAATCGCTTATCCTGTTTAATTTCTGACCATATATTTCGATTTTGGAAGGGTAATTTAATACATCTAATTTCAGTTGACCAACCATTTATTCACTCTAAATTACTATACATTTCCAACGCAGACTACGTCATTTACAATGACTTGTTAAATATGTAGTCTTGCGGCTGTATGCCAGCACAACCACCATACGAACAACATTTCCCTCCAGCTTGGGTAAATACATCCCTGTGAAGAAAATTCTAAAATCATACTATAAAACCTACACTAAAAAGGTAAAAATGATAACAAAGAAAACCGAATATACTGTGAAGGGAAGGGTGGGTGGGGAAGAAAGGACTGCCTGGTAGCCAAACATTGCAGTGGAATGAGAAAGGATAACCATATGTAACTGGTTGTACTTTTATAGTAAAAAGGTGCCACGCCACTGTTAGATCAAATACTATTCACAATCATGGCTTAAAATAATTACATTTTAAAGATCACATTTGAAGAATCAGGGTATTAATTAATGTAGTGTAAAATTTGCATTTGCAGAAACGAAAACGAAAGGCTGCAAGGAATTTCAATTCATTTCTGTCTTCAGACAATAACAACGTTAAAAACTTCTCATATGAGGGCGGGGTAAAATAATATCTAGGGATGTATGTTTTCCTAAATTCATCAAAGAAGGGACAAATCAACAAAAAGTGTAATTCATCTTCAATTTCTAAGTGGGCAAAGGCGTTCATCTTTTGGGATATCATTTCTCCTGTCGGTTTCTATCCTAAGACAATGAGAAGAACAACATATAACATAAACCTATGATAGGGAATAGAAATAGCAAACAAATAACGCTCGGGCTCAAGCTGTGTTTTAAAAATTACAATAATTATTAATTTTGTCCAAAGTTATGACATCTCCTTGCCAATCTAAGTATAAACGATATTTTAGTCTAGAAACAAAAATGTTAACCAAATTACTGGTGTTCGATATCTCATGCATATTACAGGAAAATAATAATTTTTTAACATTGGTAGCACAATTTGGTTTGTATCTTTTCTTGGACATATCTAGATGAAGTAACATAACATTTATGGGAATATCTATGTGCTGGCATACTTGGCCCAATATTTAACGCATTTTTTTGCCGTGCTAAGGAAAATTTTGTAACGCCCACATTCCCCTAATACTGCACAATTTGGTGTATTTTGGGAAACACCCAAGAACATTCCACATGCAAGTGCTGGACGCGTTCAAGCGTTT